CTGAAGAAGGGTCCAGACCCGAAACGTCAGCCTTCCTGCTCCTCTGATGCTGCTTGGCCTGCTGTGTTCATCCAGCTCCACACCCTGTTATCACACACACAGAGATGGATGGTCCTTTGAATCCCTATCCACTACACCTAGATTTCCTTAAAAGGGGAAACACTCTCAGCGTTGTTTTTGAGAAAAAGCAAGCCCCTAGGCAAGTGAAATGTCTTTTTATTATTTTTCTCTGTTTTATAATTGTGGATTGAAATGAGAAAAGAGCAGTCTTACAAATCAAGTTTGGCTGGATGATTGTATGTTATGAAACAAATAGCCTTGCACTCATTGCAAGTGTTGCTTGCACAGCTGCTTGTTCAACCAATGGTGGGTGTGTAGTTTGCAGATGAACTGGAGCTGAGTGATTTTGTACAGGTGGAATCGGAGCTGTACAGCATGGAAACAGATCCTTCCATCCAACTTGTCCATGCCAACCAGATATCATAAATTAATTTAGTCCCATTTGCCAGCATTTGGCCCATATCCCCCTCAACCCTTCTTATTCACATACTCATCCAGATGCCTTTTAAATGTTGTCATTGTACCAGCCTCCACCACCACCTCTGGCAGCTCATTCCATACGCGCACCACCCTCTGCGTGAAAAGGTTGCCCCTTAGGTTCCTTCTAAAACTTTCCCCTCTCACCATAAACCTATACCCTCTAGTTTTGGACTCCTCTATCCTGGGGAAAAGACCTTGTCAATTTACCCTATCCACGCCCCTCATTATCGTATCAACCTCTACAAGGTCACCCATCAGTCTCTGACACACCAGGGAAAATAGCCCTAACTTATTCGGCCTCTCCCTATAACTCAAAACTTCCAACCCCAGCAGCATGCTTGTAACCTTTCCTGCACTCTCTCAAGTTTCACAACATCTTTCCTATAGCGGCGAGACCACAATTGAACATAGTATTCCAAAAGGGATCTAACCAATGTCCTGTACAGCTGCAACATGATGTCCCAAATCCTATACTCTATGCACTGACCAATAAAGGCGAGCATACCAAACACTGCCTTCACTGTCTTATGGTTGCTATAAGTAGTTGGTCCATGGGTCAGTTATTAGTACAACTGCAACCTGCCAGCAACTGTGATTGGTTCTTGGGTAGCCAGCAGTTTGGGGCTGTGAAGAAGATAGTGAGAACCCTTAGAACTCTACCAACTTAGGAGCTCTCTGTTCTCTGCTGTCAAAGCTACTTTAAGCCTGAAAAAAATATTTTTCCTTCACTTGCTATAAGCTGTGACTTATTAATTAATAAGTCGGCCTTTTATAAGTTTGAACCAGCCACCCTGTGCCTCCTACAAATCAGCAAAAGCTTCCGAAGAAGGAAGATTGAGAAGCAGCATTCTGATCCGCACAAGAATCTCTGTAGATCCTGTGAAGAGGAACCATGGAAATGTCTGCTTGTCTTTACGTAACATCCATAGCACCTTTTGTCTTTTTTTACCCTGTGCATGTGTAAGGGGGAATTTAGAAGAGGATTAAAGTTCCAATTACTAAAGCTATATGCTGAAGGTTCATAATTGTTTGCCTGTCATTAGAGTCTAATTGCTTGAAGTTTTTAAAGTACCGAAACCTGGTCTTTGTCAACCTGGGTATGAAAGCCAGGAAATTAGGGAATCTTTGCTTGCTTTTTAAAATCTATAATGTTTGTGATGACTCTGGGACAGTGTAATTCACCACCCACCATCAGCAGGCATGGTATCCAGAAAAATGAAAACTTAAATTCAAAGATTACACAGTGTGGGGCTGGAGGGACACAGCAGGCCAGGCAGCATCAGAGGAGCAGGAAAGTTGATGCTTCGGGTCAGGACCCTTCTTCAGAAAGGGTCCCGACCCAAAATGTCAACTTTCCTGCTTCTCTGATGCTGCCTGACCTGCTGTGTTCCTCCAACTCCACACCGTGTTATCTCTGACTCCAGCATCGGCAGTTCTTACTATCTCTAACTTAAATTCAAATTCTTTGTTCAGTTAAAGAGTGAACACAGGTGTGATGCGCTGAATAGCATCTTTCTACGCAGTAGAATACTTCTAAGTTGAACAAAAATTATTGTGAAGCTCTTTGTTTATATATGTTAAGTTGAAAGTGCTATCCTTTTTTGGAATGCCTTGCCTGATGCTACTGCCTGAGGAAGGCAGATTCTGTAAGGTTGTAGAGATTACTAAACCAGGTGTAGAGTCCCTACAGGGTGGAAGCAGGCCTTTTGGCCTTTCGAGTCCACACAGACCCTCCAAAGAGCATCCCACCCAGACCGTATCCCTGCATTTCCCACAGCTAACCCACCTAGCCTGCACATCCCTGCACACTATGGGGCAATTTAGCTTGGCCAATCCACCCTAACCTGCACATCTTTGGACTGGGGGAGGAAACCCACACAGACACAGGGAGAATGTGAATACTACACACAGACAGTCGCCCGAGGCTGGAATTGAACCCGGGTTGCTGGTGCTGTGAGGCAGCAGTGCTAACCACTGAGCCACCATGCTGCCTGGGAGTGGTGGGGTGGGGTGGGGTGGGGTATCATATAAGCTGATCTTCCTTGATGGCGGCATCTTCAGAAGAACTTTGTTCAGGAAATTCTTCTGTCATTGAGGATCACTCTGTATGTCCATATTACTGCTGGCTGCATTCAGAGAAAAGACTACAATGCTTCCGACACAGGGCAGATCAGCTCCTAAACCTCTGAGTCCTTTTTCCATAAAGATATTTCAACAGGAGCTAATGTATGAATGAAATTATACGCTTAGGGTGGGACTCGCTCACAGCTTATTCTAATTCTTGGAATGAAGGGATGCCTATTTAAGACTGAGATGAGGAGAAATTTCTTCGTTGAGTTGAGAGTCTTTGGAACTCCTTACCTCAGAGCTGTGGGAGCAGAGTCCTTGTGTATATTTCAGGCTGAGATAGATTCTTGATCAGTCAGGGAATCAAGGGTTATGGGGAAATGGCAGGAATGTGTGATGTGAGGAAAATCAGATCAGCCATGATCCTATTGAATGTCAGAGCAGGCTCAAAGGGCTGAATGGCCTCCTCTTGTTCCTATTTCCTATTACACTGGATCAGAGATAGTAGGAACTGCAGATGCTGGAGAATCCGAGACAACAAGGTGCAGGGCTGGATGAACACAGCAGGCCAAGCAGCATCATAGGAGCATCCCTTGTTGTCTCCTATTACACTGGAATGGCTTTAATATAAATTTTAACTTAAAGTCAGCTTTGTGTGATGGAATAACTTGTTTTTTTTCTCTCCTTATTTATAAAAGCCCTACAGTGTGGAAACAGGCCCTTTGGCCCAACAAGTCCACACTGACCCACAGAGCATCCCACCCAGACCCATCACCCTATAACGCACCTAACCTACACATGCCTGAACACCAAGGGCAATTTAGCCTGGCCAATCCACCCTAACCTGCACATCTTTGGACTGTAGGAGGAAACCAGAGCACCCGGAGGAAACTCACGCAGACACGGGGTGAATGTGCAAACTCCACACAGACAGTCACCCGAGGATGGAATCGAACCCAAGTCCCTGGCGCTGTGAGGTAGCAGTGCTAACCACTGAGCCACCGTGCTATTTTTTTTAAGAAATGAAATGAACAAGTAATGAACCATAAACAAATTTGTCTGTGGAATTCTTGAAGGGTGAAAAACATAAAGCAAAAATGATTTGCGGGGATTGAGGCAAAATTGAGAGAGAGAGATGGACCAGACTTTGTCTCCTGCATTCCCCTGTTTGGGATCGAACAAGCGATTATCAAAGGGTGAAAGTGGGTACAGCAATTTAAAGAGGATAGTGTAGATAGCTTCAAGTGAAAGTTTGATAGACACCAGGAAGAAGGGGAATGGAAGATGTGGTATTGGAATTGTGAAGCACATAGATGGTACAGTGAAGGAACAGACCGATTTAATTCGGAGACAACAAGGTGCAGCGCTGGATGAACACAGCAGGCCAAGCAGCATCCTCTCTGCTCCTATGATGCTGCTTGGCCTGCTGTGTTCATCTAGCCCTGCACCTTGTTGTCTCGGATTCACTAGCATCTGCAGTTCCTACTATCTCCGATTTAATTCTGAGTGGGCTGGGAAGGGGGTTTTGAATTCGGTTGCAGTTTGTTCGCTATGCAGCGGAAGTCAGTGCTTCCTCCACCTTGTGGTTTGCTCGCTGCTTACTCTGCAAGTTGGAGTGCGTTTTTTCTGGTTAGGGCAATGCTCTGGGTGTTGGCAGGGCTGTACACGGAGGAACTTGACCCAAAAGCCCTCAGAGCCACTGGATTGACCAACTTGGCAGTTCCATGGCACAGCAGGAAGATTCAGAAAAGACTGATCAGGATCTTGCCAGAACTGGTTGGGTTTGAGTGAAAAGTAGAGGCTGGGACTTTTCTCACTGGAATGTTGGAGGCTGAGGGGTGACCTTATAGAGGTTTATAAAATCATGAGGGGCAATGATAAGGTGAATGTCC